TTTTTTTTTTTTTTTTTTTTTTCAAATCCTTAGACATCAAAGTATTGGAGAAATTAGATATTTAAAAATGACGAAACCGTGCAATATAGATTTTGTCCTCCGCTCTCTTCTCATTCAGACATCATTTCTTTTGATTGCAGCTTAAAAAGCATCTAATCACTGCTAGCTACATTGATGATTCCATGACATTGCTAGATGAACAGGCAAGGAATGCTGGTATAACAATTCTTGGGGAAATGGGTCTGGATCCTGGCATAGGTATCCTAAACTTTTTTTTCTAGTTTGTTAATGGCTCGTCATGTACTCTATTGAATTCTTTTAATCCAAACTAAGTTTTGCTGACTAGTCTAGAGTTGAAAACTACATACTTCTAAGGTTTTAGAAAGGTTAGAACTTGCAGAGAAAGAATTCTGATATAATTTCGTCCATTTTGAAAACTACATAACCACCTCCCCTAACTAATAACTAATATACCCTTACCCTTATACTATCCCTAACTGCATTCTTATCATAATTTTATGGATCTTTTTTTTTTTTTTTTTAATATTTTCCTCACAATTTGTGCTTTGATGGACCGTGCTTCAGATCATATGTTAGCAATGAGGATGATCAATGAGTCACATCTTCAAAAGAGGATAGTGAAATCCTTTGTATCATATTGTGGGGGAATTCCGTCTCCAGATTCAGCAAACAATCCATTAGCATATAAATTCAGGTACTTGTTAGAACGACTTTTCCTAATGATTTATCAACTTCGACTACTTTTGTTTTTTTTTTTTGTTTTTATAAAAAAAATATAAGGTGAATCATGAACAAAAATGCTTGGAGGATGGATAAATGACATCACCTTAAGCATGTAATGGTAATAGTACAGAAACTTGTATATTCTCACTCAATACCCATAAAAAATTTGAAGTTTGTACATACATTTTTCCTTTGTAAATTTTAAACAACGTTGATGATATTTTTAAGAAACAGGAACAAAATCTAGTATTTACAATTTTCAGATATCTAACAAAATAAAATTGTGTTGGGATTGGGAAACTGAAATAAGATGTCAATGAGTTTATGATCAAAAGTAAATTTTTTAAAATAGCAATTGATTGAAAATAATATTTAATTATCTAATAATAAAACAGGTAAAATTTTACAATACATGCATAGAGAGAACTTCAAGACAAATACAGTGGTCAAAATTGTCTGGAGAGGAGCAGTACGTTGACTTGTGCTTCAAGCTTGATAAAGTAGAAAGTGATACTTGGAAGTAGGGAAATTTAATTATAGGTTTTTAGTCATTTTTGGTGAGGAGGCTGTAAGTTTAACGCTTAGGATTAATTTCATGTCATACATGAGCGAGCATGCTTACAGACATGATGGGCCAAGAAAGTCATCATCCTGTGCCATATACATTGATGGAAGATTGGATTCACTTGAATGAACGACACATGAGTGAGTGGATAGATGAGTATACCAAAAATTTAGAATGAACGAAATGTCTTCTGTGTAAATAAATGTTTGGACCCTGTAATCATATTAAGCCACTTACATGTCCGGCCTATTTTCCATAGAATTTATTTTCAACGAGGCCAAGAAGGCTCTGTTTATAAAAAAAACGCAAACGTGCATTCAGTGTTCATAATATTGCTGTTTGCAGTGGAAGTTTCAAAGATAATCCTGGCAAATTTCTCTACTTCTGTTGCTTTGATTTATACTGTTTTAAGTCAGATTCTCTTGAAAACGTTGTGTTATGCATGAAAATATCCAAGTTCCTGTACCATTCCATGACTAAACCTTGTGAAGATGTACCATTTGTCAATGTTAAATATTTTATACTTACTAAATGCATCTTCTAGTTTTATAGAGATTCAATAACATTTCTTATTTTATGAAATATATTAGTTGGAATCCTGCTGGAGCTATTCGAGCTGGAAGCAATCCGGCTACATATAGATATGAAGGAGAAACGGTGAAAGTTGAAGGTAACCTGTTAACACTATGGGAAAAGGTTCAGATAACAAGAATGTGTTGCACTCTGCACTTAATTTATTATTTCTTGCACACAAGATATGCCTTATGCTTATTGAGTACAAAACTTATAGAGCTTATAAGTCTTTAGTTTAGATAATTACCATTTATTTTATTTTGTTTCAAAGTTATGATGTTATGATATATTAGACACTAAACCTTTTTTTTTTTCTTTTTTTCATTAATACTTCTTGATGAGAAAATTTACTGAAGCAGTGAAACTTGCAGGAAAGGATCTTTACGACTCTGCTGTGAGACTACGCTTACCTGACCTTCCAGCTTTTGCTTTGGAATGTATTCCAAATCGCAATTCCTTAATTTATGGAGATGTATACGGCATAGGGCACAAGGCATCGACCATATTTCGTGGAACCCTACGATATGAAGGCATGTTCACTTTTGGCTTTTAAACATGTTTTCCTGAGGAGTCCCACTCAAAACCTTGTTTGACACATGATTTTCTCAAAGAAATCTGGTTAATTATGAATTCTAAGCTGAGTATAAACTTAAATATTACGGCTTTTTTTTTCTCTTTCTTGATACATAGATCTTGTAACTGAAGACAAGACGACAGGTCTATATGAAAAAAGAACTGTTACATTTTCCATTCGTTTGGAGAAAGTTGCAGTCAGCAGCCTTTGCTTAATTTTGTATTATAAGCTCTTTATCAGCAAGTGGCACCTAGGTTTTCTGATTTCAACTTAAGAAATTGTGTTTTTGTAACTCATTTACTGTTAACATGTATAGGATTTAGCAAAGTGATGGGAACCCTGGCAAGAATTGGATTCCTAGACACTGAAGTTCATTCCTTTCTTAGGAATAAGAAGCCACTGTTTCGAGATTTCTTGCTTGAGCTTCTCAAAATTAAAGTAGAATCGAATGACTCCACGATTAGAGAGAAGGACATCAGGGAGAGCATTATTTCTAGTGGACTCTGTAAGGAGCAAGAAACTGCTGTAAGAGTAGCCAAAACAATCGTGTATGCAGCTCTTCCCATTCCTTTTCTGTTCAAAAGATTAATTCTATATTCTGCTTGGGAGGCTAACAATGACAATGGATCTACACTTTTCATGAATCAGATTTTTAGGATTTCATGAGCCAACAGAGATTCCTTCATCTTGCCAAAGTGCATTTGACGTTACCTGTCACAGAATGGAAGAACGGTTAACCTACTTAAAAAATGAGCAGGTACTCTTTCGTTTCCACTGTTAATGTTCATTCATATTCTAGAATGCTTTACCATGTAAATCTTTAGCAGCTACTTGGTTTGTCTTCTGTATCTTGATGTCAAAAAAGGCAAAGGGGTTTCAGTTCTTTTTTTGGTCAGATTTCAGGTTACAATTAAGGAAAGAGAGTGGAGAAAAAAAATCTTTAATAATCTAGTTTCAAAATTGTGAGATGAAATAAAGTTTTACCATTTATTAAATTATTTTATTCAATCTTATTAAAAAAAATACTATAAGATCGCATTATGGCTGTAATAGGATATTGAAACCTCACATATACACACATTGGGCTTGGAGGATGACCAGTCTTAGAGAAGATATCGTTAAGCTTAAGCCTTCTCAAGCTTAATCATATGTAAGAAGGAATAAGGATAAGAAATTAATAAGGGTGAGTTCCATTTATCGAGTGAGAGACTAGGACAAGTTACATAAAGAGTGTGAGTGACAATCTAGTTGGTTAAATTATTGGTCTACTCTTAACTGATTGTTGCTTTTATGGGAGAGTAGGTAGAGCTCTGAAAATCCTTGCAATTCACCTTTCTGTTCTTGTTCTCTTTTCGTCAATCCTGATCGCATAAAGAGAAGATTTCCCCATTCCCATCTTTGATGATCACTCCCAGCTGATGTAACCTTTGTTGGAAAGATTTTGAAAATAAATGATATCTACTTAAAAGCTTGGGGTTAAGTTTATGATAGCTTTCAATTAAATTGGTCTAGGATTAAAAGAATGAATGATCTTCTAGTGCGAGATAGAAGTTTGTATTGTCAAGGTTACTTGTGAGGCTGCGTAGTAGATATTTGGTTTAAAAGACATATGTTCTTAAAATTTCATCTACAAAAAGCTGTATATTTATCATACTTCAACTGTTTGTCAATACTTTATAACAAGTTCATTTCTTATGATGATCAGGATATGGTACTTCTACATCATGAAATACAAGTAGAATCGCCAGACGGTCAACGTAAAGAGTGTCGCAAGGCCACATTTCTAGAATTTGGGAGGATCGAGAATGGAAAGATCACTAGTGCAATGGCTCGTACTGTTGGTATTCCAATAGCTATTGGGGCTTTGGTAACGACCTTTACATGCTTTTGTACCATAATCTTGCTTTAAGCTTCAAACTTTGGTTTAATGTTACTACAATATATTTGTCAATGCAGCTTTTACTGACAAACAAAATCAAGACACGAGGTGTTTTAAGGCCCATTGAATCTGAAGTCTATATTCCAGGTAAGTTCAAACCCGAATAATTTCCTTCTAGTTTCAGTTTACATTTCTTAAATCGTTACCATGAAATGCCTGGAAAACAAGCCGATTGAGTCTTTAACGATAAAAAGTTTGGTTTGGTTATTCATCATCTGACTCGAACATAACTCAACAGCCATGCTGCGATTTAAAGATAAATAAAACCATTGAAATAAAAAGGCCGATAGAACAAATCGACCAATCAGTAAATGAAGTAGGCTAGAAATTGACATTTTGTAGATCAAGCGGACTCGAACTCTGTGGAAGTGTGTCTATTTGCTCAAGTCAAGTTTCCCTGAACAATTACTTTAACAACCTACTATCCATACAATCATCAAACTTGCTAACATATTGTTTTTTTTGTTCATGTTGCAGCCTTGGATCTCTTACAAGCTTATGGTTTCAAACTAACAGAGAAGATTGAATCCTAGCTTGGCTTCTAACACTACTAGAGAAAAGGGATAATCCACTGGGGAAGTAATATATATATATATATATATAGTTTAAAGATTTGTTATGGCAACCTGTTAATATAAAAACATCTTGATCTAAAACTCAACAACCCCTCAAAAGAAAAATTATATGTGGGTGTTAAGATAGAGTCTCATGAACAGTATGAACAAAACCACATCCAAACTTCATGGGTAAATTTTGATGTCCAGCTATGTTGCAATATGTCGTGATATGATATCCTGTAATGATCCTTCGTGTGAAGTTCATATTATACCTATCCTGTAATATCATTATTGTTATTATTATTTCTTTCAATCATGAAGATTTGATTCTTATTTCCTATTTTATTTTGATATATAAATACACCTATAAAGGTTCAACTTCATTAAGGTTGCAATCAACATATATATAGATGAAATTATGATGTGGGTTATCAATTTTTACTTAATTTATGGCAGAGAAGCATACTCTATAATTTGGATTAAATTATTCGAGAGGTTGAACAGCTTGATGATACAACAAATAATTTAACAATTACAAGAGGGATAATCAAATTGTGAACTAGTTCCATCGATCCTTCAGATATATTTCTAATATTCAAATGGAAGACGAGCTATTACCATATATTTTATTTTATTGACAATTTAATCATAAACCCTATTTTCTCGTAGCTCTTTTAATCTTGATTTTTGTTCCCTTGTGATGGACTGGGAAGAGGAGGTACATGTCAAGTATCTGCTTGGGATCATGTCTTCTTAGGGCTATTTTGGATGTACAATTCAATTTCGATAGTAATATTCCATGCAGTCAGATATTTGGGGTAGTGTAAGTGATCGAGGGGTAGCACGGGAAACTTGTAGTGTAAGTGATCAAGGAGTAGTAACTCATATTACTTTGCGCAGAGTTCCATTATTATTAATGCGCAAATGTTCTCCCTACAATTCAATTTCGGTAGTAATATTCCATTTCACTCTCGCTTGCTTATATAATGTTTCTTTCAAAATCTCTCTGCCCTCCTTTTCTAAAACCTTCTCTTAAACTGAGGCCTTCTCTTAAACTGAGGCCAGAGGCTCGAGCATATGTTGCTTGACCGTAGGCGCCATAAGAACAAATTGCCTTAGCTCACTTGTCGTTGGAAAGTGAGTGCTGTACAATCACAAGTCCGCTGCCATCGCGATTTCTTATTTGCTGCCTACCATCCTTAACTTAACAAAATAAAATAATTGTTCTAAATAAATTGTGGAACAGTGGGAGGAAAAAAAGAAGATTAACATTTAAAAAGAAATTAAATTATGGGATAATGAAAGTTGGGGTTAAGGTTCCTACTGCTACTGACTCATATTTGCCAGAATCGAGCAAATAAAACAGCATATTCCACCTATTTGGCTACCAACTCAATCACTCACACTAGTGTTGTTAAGAAATAATATGTTCTAAAAGCCTAAGAAGAACGAACCCATGAGGTTAACTGCTTCTCCACGTCCTCCCAGTTGTGAACTTTGGTGACCAAGGCAGGCAGATCCTCATACCCAGTCTTGCACCATGGATATGAGTTCTCGTAGTCGAAAAGTAGAACTCGAATCCCCTCTTCAGCGCATTCGATTGCATATCTTGGGTTATCGTCAATTAGCACGCTTGCTCCCAAAGACCTGTCCCAATTCATCACAAATATTGCACCATAGGGAATGTTGATCTACCAGGGATGGGAAAATAAATGATAAAAGAGAGTGAAGATTTGTTGACATACTTGCATATTTCCGCCTTTGATCTCGACTCTCCATCCAGAGCAAAGTGGTTTCCGAAGTGAATCTCCTGAAACAGTCCCGGATAGTGCCTATCGATCCACTTAAGCGTGTGCTCTTTGATTGCGTTTTGCCGAGACCTGAACTTAGTTCAAATGAGATCAGTTCATCGTCGATTAAGGAATCAATACCGTATCGAAATGATCCAATGTAGCTATACATACGTTACGACTGAAAGATGACAGAATCTCGATAACTTGAGAAGCGTACTCTGTGCACCGGGAATAGGCCAGATTCCAGACTGGAAATATGGTGTCTTGAAGAACTCGTGAACTCGAATATTAGCTGTAAAGCAGGGAAACAAGCGTCAGAACCAATCAACCAACCAAGTTAAGAAACAGATTTCCATGGACAGAAATATCTCATGAACAGATTCAAGAGCGTAAAGAAAAAGTCGATCCAGAGTTCTCCATGCATAAAAATCTCATCGAATTCCATTAAAGACTGCAAAGTTCTCTCAAAGAAGTGCAAATCTACAAAGGAAGTACAAACTGGGAAATATTAACAGAAGAAGTGCCATACGACAGTCTTATACTCCCCAGAGCAAATAAAACACGTTTCCACGAACCTTCGAAAGCGTACGATTAACTATTTCAGGTTCTGTTCAACAGTTTCCACAATTGCAATTGTAAAGAAGTTTTGAGACTGTTACACAGAAATCTCTCAAACCAGTAAACTGAACTGTCTTCTAAAAGCACAAGGTGCGAAGGCCAAATTCAATATCAAAGATTAGACAAAAAAGTGTTAAAGCAAAGAATGAATTCCAAAAAATACCTTCTTAAAGCCATTGGTATACAAATACCTTTTCAATGCTAAAATTTAAACCTTTTTATATCAAAGCCAATTATGTAACCCAAAAGAGGATCATACTTAAGGATCCTAACAATATTTTTTCAAGATAAATAAATTAGGATATTGTAACGACCCAGATCCACCGCTAGCAGATATTGTCCTCTTTGGGCTTTCCCTTTCGGGCTTCCCCTCAAGGCTTTAAAACGCGTCTGCTGGGGGAAGGTTTCCACACCCTTATAAATGGTGGTTTGTTCTCCTTCCCAACCAATGTGGGACATCACAATCCACCCCCCTTCGGGGCCCAACGTCCTTGCTGGCACTCTTTCCGTCCTCCAATCGATGTGGGACCGCTACCAAATCCACCCCCCTTTGGGGCCCAGCATCCTTACTGGCACACTGCCCGTGTCTACCCCCTTTGGGGAACAGCGAGAAGGCTAGCACATCGTCCAGTGTCTGGCTCAGATACCATTTGTAACGACCTAAATCCACCGCTAGCAGATATTGTCATGTTTGGGCTTTCCCTTTCGGACTTCCCCTCAAGGCTTTAAAACGCGTCTGCTAGGGGAAGGTTTCCACACCCTTATAAATGGTGGTTTGTTCTCCTCCCCAACCAATGTGGGACATCACATATATACTATTTTGTATCACGTATGCTCTAACACGAAGGTAAAACTAGGGGGTTTCCCAATCAGAATAGAATAGTCAAAGTGTGCGCAAATCGGCCCGAATACTCACAAATATTAAAGGACATGATGCTGGAAGGTCCATCTATTCAACTAAGAAAAGGTCATGAAACCAACCAATTGATGTTTATGCTGCCTAATACATAACATGGTGTCAGCGAACCTACAATTTCGGACTCATTCAACATGGAAAGCTTGGAAATAGTCAAGAATATTTTTAAAGAGATTAAATAAATCAAGATCTCAGAACCACATGCAACCATCAATCAGTCAAATGTATGATTCCAATCAGGAAAAACAATAAGCAATATATAATTAATAAAGCCATCTTGATATAGACGACAAGTCACTAAAAGTCAATCCCAGAAAGCTGTACCTTCATCACGAGAGCAATTCCATATCTGAAACAGAAACGAAAGCCTAAATCAGACTGGTTCATATTAGACATTCCCCAGGACAGCTTCAGGACTATTGTACTAATAATCATAAGGAAACCCCAACAAATAATCATACCCTGAAGAATTCATAGACGTGATACTCCGAAACCGAATGATTAGAAGAATATCGATCAGCAACGAACTTGTTAAGAGCTGAGACAAAGTTTCCCAAAACTACACAACAACAAAAAGAAACAAGTATTCGATCAGAGAACTACGAGAATTATCATGTGCAATAATTGATTAGCATAACCAAATTCTCAGCTCAAATCAAGAACAGGCTAGAATAAGTAGCCATGATCATGCAAAATCATTAGCTAATGCAGTGTAGATCAATTTAATTATGCAAGTCGTCAACAAGTAAATTAATTAATTAATCTAAGTCAACAACTCCATAGATTTAGTCCTTAGATTATATGAACATACAATATCTCAATTGGAGTTGTCCTGTCTCTGTCACATGACACCAAACCCACTAGTAAACAGAGAATTCAGAAGAAGAATTAAGAACAAGAACAAGGGAAAATCCGAGAAACAAAATTAAAATCCAGGGAAGGAGATGAAAGAAAATACAAACCCTCATCGACGTCAACAGCAACAACAAGTTTGTCCCTGGAAGAGAGGTCGTGGAACGTTAAAGGATTTCCCCATTGGGTCTCACCATGAACAGTGGTAGAATATCTGCGATCAATTCCATCTACTAAATCAACCTCGACGTTGTTAAGCACCAGTGGACGACGAACAAGTGTCGGACCCTTAGCATTGATCCCTAACGAGCTGCTACTGCAATTATCTTTGGGGGATTGACCGCAAGCTTTGAGATCAAATCGAGTGCATTTGTTTCCTCGAAAGCTTCGATCGAACAGCGGTGGCTGAGAAGGACGGAGGGATTGCATATGAAGATCAGACGATCGAAGATTCCGCGTCAAAGAATGAGCAGCCATTAATGGAAATCAAGCATAGTACAGTATTCTGTGGAAGGAGCCTCGACGATGTAACATAAATTTCTTCGAAGGGCACTCACATTCCTCCACCGCCACAACAACAATAAACAATTAGTCGCGTATTTAAACCCTAAAACAACGGATAAACGCGGCGGAATTAAAAAGATATCGAATTAATTACATCGAGAAAAAAAAAAAAAAAAAAC